AGGAAACCTAAACTAAACTAACTTTATTTATACTGGATAGCTCTGTCAGTTCTAAACTGTTCTCCCTAGAGGTCCAGTAAGGATCATCTCTAATGATCCAGTGTTACTACAGGAGGAAACCTTAAACTAACTTTATTTATACTGGATAGCTCTATCAGTTCTAAACTGTTCTTCCTAGAGGTCCAGTAAGGATCATCTCTTATTGATCCAGTGTTACTACAGGAAGAAACCTAAACTAAACTAACTTTATTTATACTGGATAGCTCTGTCAGTTCTAAACTGTTCTTCCTAGAGGTCCAGTAAGGATCATCTCTTATTGATCCAGTGTTACTACAGTAGGAAACCTAAACTAAACTAACTTTATTTATATTGGATAACTCTATCAGTTCTAAACTTTTCTTCCTATCTCTCCCAGTACGGATCATTTCTTATTGATCCAGTGTTACTACAGGAGGAAACCAGAACTAAACTAACTTTACTTATACTGGATAGCTCTATCACTTCTAAACGGTTCTTCTGACACCTGTATATTGCAACAGCGTGGTATCGAGGTTGCCTAAGGCATGCATTGAAAAGCGGGAACATATTCTTACCAGTTTCTATGAGGAAAGGCGAACATGGTGGGCAAGCCAGGCAATCCTGTGTAAGCGACGCGAGATCGAGAGAAAGTCGAAAGAAAGAGAGATTTATATGGCGCAAAATCCACAACTCCAAGCTGATCGTGCAACAGCTAAAAAAATGAAATGGAGATAAAGTTTAGATCTTGAAAGCACGGCTGTTCAATTATGACCTGTGAAACTTATTGAGGAAGCGGTTATTATTTACAGCGGGGGGGGGGGGGGGGGGGGCGTGGCACCAAAGAGAAAAGGGTTGGGTAAACAAAATTTTGAGTGAGTAAAAGGTTGGGTAAATGAAAAACAAAACAACTCAAGGGTTGGGTAATAAAAATTCTTTATCATTCCCAAAGCAGGACTCACTCAAATATTGAAGACTAAAAAGCAATGTCAACAGTCATATGTCAATACAATATGTGACTCAATCAGAGTCACTATCTTGATCATTTTCCAATTTGTCAGGAGGCAAATGGGGTCTCCAAAGAAAGTACATGTGCAGACAACATGAAACTTTAGACTGTGGAAAATTGCACCAGCAGTTATAAAACTCGTGTCACAGAAGTGGTATAAAGTAAAGGACATGTGTGACAATTGACACTTACCCTCATAGCACTTTCAAAAGCTCCACCCAAAACGTTGTCGACAGGCAGCCGAGAATTATTGCACCAAACCTGACAAGAGATATAACATTCTGTAACTATCATTGGCTAAGCATCAAAGTAGCTACCGCGCCTCCAAATTCAAGGCTCTTAGCTTAAAACGTGCAAAAATCTCTTTCATATTTTCTTATAGTTCAGAAACAAACCACTCTAGACATCCTGAGATAGCTACCTGGGCTTGACTTGTTCCTTTATTGGGTGGTACAAAATAGCCTTCGCCTTCTGCTTCGGTCGGTGCACCTTCCTGAAAAAGTTTAATTATGGTATATTATAATTCTTGTCAACGTGTTTAAGGCGTTCCTGGCACAGTGATTAATAAACGTCTCTTCGATATGAGAGATCTGACTTTATTTCCCGCTCTATGTGGCGTATTTGCGATCAGAAGTGTTCAAACCCTAAAGTCTTTTTGGCGTTCCTCTCAAAATTACTTTGTTTTAGGCCAAAACAAAAGTGGATTTCTGTGTTCCCGACCCTACCTAGCTTTTGGACGCCGAAATCCCGACCCTAAATTTTTTTTGTTGGATCATGCTTGAATAACTTACCAAATCAGGAAGCTCAAGATCTTCGTCATCAACATCCCACCCAGGTCCCTCATCACCCACTTCTACCACCTCATCACCCTGAGTATCCTTAAACTCGTCATCTAAAAAATGAACAGGATGATTTGTTACAACGTGTTACTAACATCCGATAGCGAGCTAGCCATAGCAACACGTCATGATAGCCATAGCAACAGGTCATGCTATGCCAATTTTTAATAATTTGCTTTAGGGACTGGTCATAAAGTAACTGCTAGGGTGGGCTGGAGGTAAATCACAAATCTTGCCAATAAGTTTGGTGACCCATCTTAGGATGTAGATAAAAATTTCAAAGTCCATCTAATCTTACAAATAATTTTTCATGACCCACCCAATCTAAATTGGGAAAATACACTTTTATAATAAAAAAAAAAACTTGCAGGTATGAACATTGTAAATATACACGGCACTGTATTGACATACATAATTCCATCAAGCTTGACCAACACATTGATACTGAGCTGCTCTCCAGTTGGTTGTATTTGCTGTGATTTGACCACTTCTTGTTGTTGTATAAAACAAAGTACTGGCTTCAATAGCATCATTTGCATTTGATAATTTGGATAGTTTTGTTTACTTTTATTATTAGTATCTTTATTTTTTGAAGTAGACATGCATGGGTTTTTGTTTGGTGGCCCAACCGTGGACATACAAAAAAATTGGCGGCCCATCGAAACTGCCCAAAGATTTTCCATGGCCCATCCCAAATCACTCCAGCCCACCCTAGCAGTTACTTTATGACCGGCCCCTTATTCAAGCCTTTAGAAACGTCTGGCCTTCAAATATCAGTCAGAGAACCGTCTGACAAAATGCTCGATCACTTTGAGTTTGGGTCGGACATATGTATTGTGATGTCCGATGACTTTGAGTTCAGTTTGGCTTTGCAAATAAGTATGAATGCAGACACAAATTAATACCAGCACGATTTGGAGAGTACTATTTAAAACATGGCCGGCAGTGTTTTATCAGATATAAAGATATGAGGCGAAGCCGAGTATCTTTGGGTCTGATAAAACACGCACTGCGAATGTTTTAAAATGATCTTGTAAGTTCAAATAAGTTTAAATCGATCTTGTTTAAATCGATTCAAATAAGTTTAAATCTCTATCACATATAAAGATACGACACGCCTATGATTTTTGTGTGTTTTCCTCATGAATTATTAATTTCTGAAAGTCATTCGAATCTTGACAATGAATTTCCGAACACCACGGTGAAAACCCCGCAACACTTCATTACACATTTCCACTTTTTATACATTACTCTGATTCTCCATCTAACATACGAGCCTCTAGTCCTGGACTAGGGTACATTTTGATTGACGTTGGACAAAGTTAAGTTAGATCGGACACCAATTCACTTGAGTTGGACAAAGAATAAACCTCAGTTTCACTGAGGTCGGACAGAATGTCCAGTGGTTTCCTCTCTACGTCGGACAATTTCACGAATGGGTCACGACCGATGTCTTAAGGCCTGAGAAATATATTGTTTAGATGCGGGTTTAATAGCATTAGCATGGCCAGTTGTCATGGCTAACTTTGCCACTGTTAATAGAGACCTTACGATTTTAGGACGGCAACGCGACGGCAACGGCTACCAATACAATATATCATTGAAAAGAATTGAGTAATTACAATATATGAATAATTTAGACATTGTCCTCGCTCTGTTTACAACGCTAAATCACAGATTTTCACGTCTTGATACAACGGCTGCATTCCAAGCCACAACAAGTGCAACTTCAAACAGGGTTTAGAGAAACTCTTCCCAAACATAAAACCCATGTCTTCAACTTCTAAGACTGTATTAAATTCATACGATTGATACATATGAGGAACTATCTTTACTACCATTTATTTGAAGGAGTTTGTTTTGGCCGTCACCGTCGCGGTTGCCGTCCTAAAATCGTAAGGTCTCTAATATCTTCTCTGGAGCACTGGGCAGAATTCTCAAAGACAACAGGGCGTTAGCCAGAAGATTAAAAAATTCGGGAATTTAATGAATTGGGGAATTTCAGTTAGCGTGCGACCTTCCGACCGGAGTTAAGAATATTGTGTTTCTCGAGCGACTTTCTCGTGGCCTAGCGCCAGCTGAGCTAAATTGAAACTTTTGAAGTGCAAGTCAAACAAATATATATTTTAGGCTAAATTTCTGGCTAAACGTAATTGTGGAAACGGCGTATAACGCTGAATTTCTGACTGTAGCTAAAATGTGATTTCTGACTGTAGCTTAATGTCTTTGTGTAAGGAAAACAGACAAATCCTTGAACCACAGTAGAAAACCACATAATATTAACCGGTAGATACAATTAGAACAGTTGACACAGTCAACGTAAGTACCCTACACATAACGTATGTTCTTGAAAACTCGTGTAAGCTTGTTTTTAAGTTTGAATTTATCCATATATTACCCTCACCATCAAGATCAGCATCTGATCCCCATCCTTCATTATCCCCATCTGCCACATGAGGTGTATCCATAGCAGAAACACCACCTTAAGTGAAAATATAAGAATTAATAAACTATTTTTCCATATACTGGATAGCTCTATCAGTTCTAAACTGTTCTTCCTAGAGGTCCAGTAAAGATCATCTCTTATTGATCCAGTGTTACTACAGGAGGAAACCTAAACTAAACTAACTTTATTTATACTGTATAGCTCTATCAGTTCTAAACTGATCTTCCTAGAGGTCCAGTAAGGATCATCTCTTATTGATCCAGTGTTACTACAGGAGGAAACCTAAACTAAACTAACTTTATTTATACTGTATAGCTCTATCAGTTCTAAACTGTTCTTCCTAGAGGTCCAGTAAGGATCATCTCTTATTGATCCAGTGTTACTACAGGAGGAAACCTAAACTAAACTAACTTTATTTATACTGTATAGCTCTATCAGTTCTAAACTGATCTTCCTAGAGGTCCAGTAAGGATCATCTCTTATTGATCCAGTGTTACTACAGGAGGAAACCTAAACTAAACTAACTTTATTTATACTGCATGGATATCTCTATCAGTTCTAAACTGTTCTTCCTGGAGGTCCAGTAAGGATTATCTCTTATTGATCCAGTGTTACTACAAGAGGAAACCTAACTAAACTAACTTTACTTATACTGGATAACTCTATCAGTTCTAAACTGTTCTTCCTGGAGGTCCAGTAAGGATTATCTCTTATTGATCCAGTGTTACTACAGGAGGAAACCGAAACTAAATAACTTTATTTATACTGGATAGCTCATCAGATCTAAACTGTTCTTCTTAGAGGTCCAGTAAGGATCACCACTTATTGATCCAGTGTTACTACAGGAGGAAACCTAAACCAAACTAACTTTATTTATACTGGATATCTCTATCAGTTTTAAACTGTTCTTCTTAGAGGTCCAGTAAGGATCACCTCTTATTGATCCAGTGTTACTACAGGAGGAAACCTAAACTAAACTAACTTTATTTATACTGATAGCTCTATCAGATCTAAACTGTTCTCCCTAGAGGTCCAGTAAGGATCACCTCTTATTGATCCATTGTTACTACAGGAGGAAACCTAAACCAAACTAACTTTATTTATACTGGATATCTCTATCAGTTTTAAACTGTTCTTCTTAGAGGTCCAGTAAGGATCACCTCTTATTGATCCAGTGTTACTACAGGAGGAAACCTAAACTAAACTAACTTTATTTATACTGGATAGCTCTATCAGATCTAAACTGTTCTCCCTAGAGGTCCAGTAAGGATCACCTCTTATTGATCCATTGTTACTACAGGAGGAAACCTAAACTAAACTAACTTTATTTATACTGGTTAGCTCTATCAGTTCTAAACTGTTCTTCCTAGAGGTCCAGTAAGGATCATCTCTTATTGATCCAGTGTTACTACAGGAGGAAACATAAACCAAACTAACTTTATTTATACTGGAATAATACTGAATAGCTCTATGAGTTCTAAACTGTTTTCCCTATATCGGCTAGATTTACACTGTATAGGATAGCTTTTCGTAGCGACGTGAAAAAACACCTATCCGTACCTTTTGGGAACGCTATTTTCAGAGGAATTATTGCAACGGAGAGATGTTGTTTCGCTCAACTTCTGAGAGTTGTACATTGCGTATCGGATGGGTGCTTTTTCGCGCCGCTACGAAAAGCTATTCGGTATAGTGTAAATGCATAGCCATAAAGTAAATGACGTACCTTTCGAGACTGCTCCCTCAAATACACTCTTAGACACAGTGAGAAGGGGCCAGTTGACTTCATTGGGTAGCACGGGAACGGCGGGCCGTAACAGGCGAGCGTTTGGATTGACAGCAGGAATCTTATCAGAATCCAAGTTAAATTCCGCCTTGATATTTTCACTCTCCTCTTCAAGCCCATGAGTGGCTGCGGTCAAGTAGGCCAGCGAACCTGTGAGATACAGTAGAATGTAAATTTCAGTAAACAGTAAAACCAAACTCTGTGGTCAACGATGGATGATTCCATTGAAATTGCAGGTTTTGTTCTGGTTTACGAACAGTAAATATTAGACTAGAAAAAGCCTTCATATTATTTTAATTTGTTGTTTTACTTGTTTTAATAAGAATATATATGAGCTTACTATAGCTGCTTTGATAATTAAAATTGAAAAATGTGTTCACTGTTTTTATTGCATTTATCGCGATATTATCGAATATCGTGATAATTTCCTTGACAATAATCGTGAGATGATTTTTTTAATATCGCCCAACCCTAAATACAGCCCTGTAAAGTTCGCAAATTTTGTATATATTTGCAATACGCGCGGGAAAAATAACCATTTTTTGAGCCGAAAAACTAACCTCTGTACAAATATTGAAAATGCCGCAGAATAGGCAGTAACTGAAATCAAGCCAACATTACACTAAATACTTCGACACACTTTGTTTTGTAGCCAGCGATTGAGGCAAGTTACAAACCACCTATATTATTCTCAGATTTCGCAATTAACAACGTCGCGTTATATAATTCACTGTTTACAGTTGAAGCCATATTTCAACGTGATATACAGTATGCAAATTACGAAAGTAGAATAAATTATGTGCGTGATTTCTGGGCACGTTCAATGGCACTTCCTTACTTTATATACTGTATGTATTTGTAATTTTACACTATTCCTGGTGATGTTATTCGGAGTCATTGTCCTTCTGTATTTTATGAAACTCTGCGGAGTCATAGATTAAGTGTGCACAGATGTGTAACTTCAGTACAAATGTTGTCCCATGGTCGCCATCTTCCTAGCAAGTGTCGTTCGCGTAATTATTCGTCATTTGGTAATACATCATTGCTTTCAAAAATGCTGTCAACACCTTTTCTACAACTTTAATTGCTTTCAACAACTTCAAACATTCAACAAATGATGCTCTTGATTGTTTAATCCATAAATTTCGATCCAAAAAAGGCGCAATAAAATGCAAAAGTTCGTTATTTTCAGGACGCCATTTAGCTAGCAAGTGTCATGGCGTGAGCATGTCGTGTACATCTAGGGAAATTTTAGGACACGAAGTCCTATTAAGTTCACACATCTGGTATATACTTAATCAGTGGCAGAGTTC